ATAAGAAGTCTAAGTTGAAGGTTATCACAAGGTAGATAAACTGATATAATACAGAATTTAAAGTTATGTTTAAAGAAGAGGTCAATTGCAATAGCATATCCAGAAAAGTTAAGTGTTTTATGAACATGTGGTTTAAGATGTTTTTGATTATAATTGCTGTTCTGGCTTTCCAATTATTAGTACATGACCAATAATAAGTAAAGTGTTAGAATATAGGAAATTTAGCATGTGCATTGTTCTGTGAGATTTTAGTTTTTGTAATGCTAGCAATGTTGATATCATGAGATAGACAGTAATCTTTTTATGTTTGTTGTTTTAGGTTATCATTATATTCTTGTGTATTATGTGTACATATTGACAGATGAAATGGTTTGTATGAGTTAGGTGTAGGTATTTGAGCTATTAGATTGAAAGATGTAGGTTCAGAGATGGTCTCTGACCAGGAAACTGTATGATTAGATGCAAAGGTAGATGGTAAATTAGTAGATAGTAATGCTGAAGATGAGTTAGCAAGGAACAGTTGATCAAGTGAAGATGGGTAGATGTTAGATAAAATATTGTTTAGTGTTGTTAGTAAAGATAAGTGCTTGTATAGTTTATATTGAAAAGGTTAGATGAGATTATGTTTAGACAGAATAGGATCTGAAGGGTCAGTATATATGTGTAGCTCAGTTTTGTTATAATTAATAAATATATTAAAGCTATGTTTGAAGGAATGTTTTCGAAGGTGGGATAGGAATTCGCCAAATGTTATATAGTGGTGTATGGTAGGTAGATTGTATAGTAATAGAAATTTGTTGTAACATGTGTTTGTTCCTGCAAGAGGTGAAATATTGGAGACAAGAACATGAAAAATTGGATTGTCTTCTACAGAGTCATTTACCATTTGAAGCTCAGCTTGCACAGCTGTGAAGAGTACCATAGTCTGCCCTATACATTGGGTCTGACTATCATTAACTTGGCCCTTCACATATTCAATATCTTTAATCTTATATGATCTTAATATATGTTATAACAAATTTCGTTCCTTCTACAATATTCTTCTACTTTCTTATAACTAAACTATTCAAACTTTTATACAACATATTGACAAGCATAACTTCAACAAAACTGTTACTAGTATAACATTCTCTGTTAATAATAATTATAATGAAACTCATATATATTTTCCTAATGACTTACTTTTACCTAACTACATTATTATTCTCTTTTATTTCCTTTCTAAGTTCTACAATCTTCTTCTTAAATCACATTTCTCTAACTCTACTCCTATCTTATTAGATACATTTACACAAAATACACATGATTTATATCTTAAAATCACTACACATAATGTTAGAGATTTTAATACTATAACCAAAAGAGAAGCATAGCAAAACTATTGTCTTCACAACAATATTGATATTGTTTGCATTACTGAAACCAAAATAGCTAACAACTAGTGCTTGGATCTGATCAAAAAATCTGTTGAATTTTCAATTAGATATCTGTTTGTATTGGATAATGAATATATATATTGCAGATAGTCAAATACATGTTTAACTATCTGATATTTTGATTAATAACAATGATATATTATCATTATGATATAAATAAATAACATTAAACTATTTGATGCTTTGATTAATAAAATAATAATGCATAATAATGATATAAATAAATGAAATTATAAGCTTTTTATTTTGATTATATGATTATACAATAATTTTTTCTTATTTATATTTATCTTAATAATAATTTTTTTTATACTCATTCATAATAATGGATAGTAAAGATTCTTTACAATTTAATGAAATCTTAAGCAAAACTTCTATTAGTTGCTTAAATGATAATATTATTATTACACATTCAATAGATAATAATCAATCAAAAAAAAGAGAAGGTTCTAGAAAAAGAAGCTGGATATAGGAACATTTCAAGAACTTATCTACTAAATGTGAATCTAAAGGCCAGTATGATGTGTTAAAAAATAATAGTACAAAATATAATCATATTATTGAAACTGATGGCATTACAGGAAATTTTAGTTATCATTTTCATATTATACATGGGGTTATGAAATTTGGAAAACTAATATTAGATAACTCCTAAGCATTAATTGATAACATGTTTTGTCAATAATTCAAGAATAATGTTAAATATAAAGAGCAAGTTAATAGCATAATGGCTAAATTTCTTATATCTGATTCACAATTATTTTCTGTTTTAAAAAATCTGGCATTCAAAAAACTTTTAAAAAAAATTAATCTATATTATATAATACTTTGTGACAAAGGTATTAAAACTTGAATTTGTATGTCTTATAATTGGATGTTGATCACTCTTCAAGATATATTGAAGAATTTAATGAATTATTATAGGTTAACAATGGACTTATGGACTTTTTGCAATAATAGTAGATATCTTGGAATCATATATTCATAGATTAATTTTTGTTTTGAATTGCAAGAAATCACTTTGGCTATTCATAAAATAAAACACCCACATACTGAATATGTAATCACTTTTTTATTAAAATCTATTATTCAACATTGGAACTTAAATATGAAATATTTTATGATAACAACTAATAATACCAAAAATATGAAAAAGGCTGTTATGGAAATTGAAGAAATTGATCATCTTTTATGTTGTGCACATACTTTACAACTAGTTATAGGAAAAGGGCTATTACTAGTTAAAGTTTTAGTTATATGAGCAAAATGGTTAATACAATTTTTTACATCTTCTAAACAAAGTGAATAGCTTAAAATAGCACAAATTTCTTTAAACCGTAAAGTGTGCAATAATATTAACAATAATTACAAATATCTTAAAGTTATAATAAATGTTGCAATAAGATGAAACTCTACATATATAGCATGAGTAAAAAATTTAAAATTAAAACTAGCAATTGAAGTAATGCAATTAACAATGAGTTACAGCAAAGACTCTATAGTAAAAAAAGATGCAAAATGTCTTAAACAAATTATGCTAATATCTGAAGAATAGCAATTAATGAAAGATTTAGTTAAAATTTTACAACCTTTTGCTAATGCTATGAAGATGCTTGGTGGAAGCAAATATACTACAATGTCATATATGTTTCCTGCTATATCTTCTTTTAAAAAATTGCTTAATATTATATATGATGCTCAAATTAATATAAATCTTGATAATTCTAATACAGTTTTTAATGATGATCAAGAATTTCAAGAATAAATTGATCTCATTAATGAACCTGAAGTACTTAATACTGAATTCAAAACAAAAATCAATCAAACTAAAATTAATATTCCACAAGTCTGTAATAGTATAGTTAAAAATATAAAAATCACATTATTTAATGCTTTAAATTACTATTAGGAATATCCAATTTATGAAGCTCTTCTTGCAACACTCCTTGATTCTAGAAATAAAAAAATAGAATTTGCAACTTATTCTCAAAAACTTTAAGCTGAAGCATATTTAGTAGCTAAGTATAAAGTATTTAAAGAGCAAGAATTAATACTGACAAATACAGTATAAATAGATAATCTTAAAGAGGAAGAAAATGTCTTGTTAGCTGTTATGTATGAACCTATTCAAGAATCTGATATTAATAATGAAATTCAAACTTATCTTGTATTGCTGAAAATTTCAAATACTTTTTGTTTTTTAAAATGGTGAAATGGGCAGCAATTAAATTTTTCTATATTGAGCAAAATAGCTTAAAAATATTTATATATTCCAGCTATATCTACAGCTAGTGAATGACTCTTTAGTGATGCAGAAAATATTATGACTGCCAAGTGAGCTTGTTTAAATGCTAATTTATTATGAATACATGCTATTTTTTAAAAAAAATATAAATTGCACTGATGTAATGTTTTCTTAAAATGCTTTAAGAACATTTATTTTTTGAAAATAATGATGTTATATATGAATTTTTAATTAGCAATATTGATAAAATATATACATTCTACTTGCATTAGCTCTTTTTATAATAATTCATATAATAAAACTTTGTTACTTAATGCTTTTACTATAATCTATATATTGACATTATAATAAACTTATTAAAAAAATTTTATTATTGGTTATTTGCTATAAAAGTTTGCTATATGGTGTATTGGTTTTGTTAGTTTATAGCAGATATCTGAAAATTGCATTTATTCAATAAATAGGCAAAATAGATAGTCAGATATCTACTGGATTCAAGTTCTACTAACAACAATAATCTTCATTTTTATAACAACAATTTATTTACTTACTTTTGGGCTAATTTAAATAACTTAGCTAAAGGCACTGCCATCATGATTTGTAAACATTTACAACTACATATACATAATTGCTAAACACATCCTGGTGAAGCAGTTGCTCTGAATCTTTTCTTCAAAAGTGAAACCAAACTGCGTATTATAGCTGTCTATCTCTCTTCAACTGATATACACAAATGTAATAAAACACAAAATACAATTATCATATGGATTTAACAAGCTCAACAACTTAACCTTTATCCTATTCTACTTGGTGACTTTAATACACATGATAACATTAGTAGTTCATCATCTAAATTCCAACTTATTAATTATCTACATAACTCCAAAATGTTTAATCTTGGTGCATATATAGATAATAAATATTATATATAATCAAACAATACTAGTCAAAGTTGTATTAACTATATTTGGACTGACTCATTTAATATTTAATTTTTTCTCTCATATAAACTTGATAATAGCAATTCCTTTACATTTAGCAATCACTCTATCCTTATATCTACTTGGACCTTTACAAATACATATAGCAAATCATCACAATATCATACTAGTATTAGCCATAGAATTTTTAACTACAAGGCTATATCACTAGAAAAATAGACAGAATTTTCAGACCTTCTTTTTCACAACCTCAATCTACATAATACTCCACTTAATAACAATACTAATAAAAGCATTGAAACTACTTGGCACAAAATTAAACATACAATCATTAATACTGCAACACACTTTATCCCTAATAAAATAACTCATAAATATAGCTACAATCATTAATACTCTCCACATTCTACACTACTTCACTTATCATTAAAAGAGCTTGGACATTTAATTAAAATTGTTAAATGTTCTAATAACAATCCTAATATTGAACTAATTAATATTAAAGTTCAGATTATTAACAATAAATCTAAATGTAATCTTTAAGTTCTTACCTTATATAATAACTTATATAGCTGAATTCAATATGCACAAGACATATGGAAGCAACTTCATCATGCTCACATGTTGAAAACTCACTATTACTTCAACAACAAATATATCAAGCTACTGAAAAAAGATATAAAACTCTTATAATATATTCTAAACAAGCTATCAATAGTATTCTTAATTGTTACAAACCTCCAATTCATTTCTCTAATATCAAACTTCTTGACCAACTAATTACTGAACCAAACCTTATCAAACAACATATACAATCTCACTTTGGTAACTGGACAGCATATTGACCAATTGATCAACACTTGTTTAATAACTTTTGGCATACACAATATCAACCCTAATTACATATTAACACTCAGTAGTACAACTCTTTCGACTCTACTATTACTGAAGAAGAAGTTCTTCAAACTATATCAAAACTTTCAAATGGAAAAGCCTGTGGTTCTACAGGCATTAGCTATGAAATGCTTAAACATGCAGGCACTACTTGTATTAAAGCTATCACTGTTTTACTTAATTACTGTCTTACTTTAAGTCAGATTCCTAAGCAATAGAAACACAGCAGAATATATCCTATTCCCAAACATAATACATTTAATGGTGACTTAAATCTTACTCATCCTATAAGTCTCATTGAACACATTCAAAAAGTGTATACAAAAATTATTACTACTAGGATTAGTACTATGTTTTTATAGCATCCCATTCTATCACTATACAATTACATAGCTTTACCTAACAACAGCATATCTATATCTATCTATATACTTAACAATCTTATTGAAGATGCATCATGTAATTAAAAATCAATCTGGCTTATGTCGCAAGATATAAGCAAAGTATATGATTCTGTTAATCTAGTTCTACTTCAAAAGTCTCTTCATTGCCTTGCCTTGCCTAACTCTATTACTAATGCCATTATCAATATACTTACTGATTAATACAATCAAGTCATTACAAATCTTGGTTTTATTTCATCATATCCAGTACTCAATAAAATTGATCAGAATGAAACTATTACTTCACTTTTGTAGAGGATTTATTATGACCCACTTATTACCTACATTTATAACAACTTTAAAGATTATATGACACAAGTTTTTTGGTCTACTAACCTTAAACACAAAACATACAACAAATCCAACTTACACTGTTTAGTTCTTGCTTATATAGATGATACTCTATAGGTTGCATCCTTACAACAAGAGCTATCACAAATCCTATCAACAGCTAAATCTTTCTTTAATATGGCCAATATTCAAATCAACCCTTTCAAGTCCTTATTAACAACTAACAATACCTCAACTAACTATACTCTTATTATATACAATAATTATTCTCTTAACCTACATCCATCAAATGAACTATTTAAATTTCTTGGATGCTGGTTTATACTTAACAACAAACAAATTAAACAAACTAAACTTATCACTGCAGAGTCATCACATCTTATCAAAATCACAAGCACTAAACAAATTACTAACACATATGCACAATATATAATTAATACTATTATTATTCCTACAATTGAGTATTGTCTTCACAATATTGTTCTTAGTCAAAACACATGCAACAAAATTCTTATAAGCCATATTGGACTTGTCAAAAATAAGGCTAAACTTAATCACACAATCCCAACAAGTACACTACTTCATTCTTAACTTTACAATATTTGTAACATATGGGATATTTAACTACAACACTATATTACAAACTTTATCAAAAAACTCAATTCATCTGATCTTTTGGAAATAAGTACTCACATAAGACTTTAACAACTTTAAAATAATTTATGGTTACCCACTATTATTCTAATACATGATAATCCTATTATTGATGGTCCCAACAAACACAGTTAATTTTAAGATTATTCAACTTTTTAAACACCTTGGTATAATGTTTATATTTAACTCATTATATAATATTCATGCACTATTCAAGAGGGCTCTATCTTACTTAAATCACTACTGTCTTCATATTCTAAATATATAACATTCAAGAAATAACTTAAACATCATGGCATTCTATATTTAGACCAACTTAACACATTTGACAACTTATGTCTCTTTGACTAAAAACATATTTTGCCATGTATAAACAAAATTCTGAAAGGCAAACAACTCCTCTGGTTCACCTATTTGGAGAACCAAGTTACAAATCATTTTTATAATTATACTCTTTATTAACATTTACACTTACCCAATACAAACTATTATAGTTATACAACTAGACATTTTTTTCATAAAAAAAACATGGCTTATTACAGTTTTTGACAATAAAATCATTATCAGCAAAGCTAGAAGACAGCCCTTACCATCTGAAACTGTTTTTATAACTCATTGGCAATGCCACATAGAATTACAATTTACTTGCCTCTATCTTCTCTCATCTATTCAATCAAATGCATGTCCAGGCTGTCATTTTAATTCTCACACAATAGCTAACAAATGCACAATCATTATTCCTATTAATGTTTCAACAAAATTTTATAGTCGAGTCAATACTTACAACAAAACTCTTAACTTTAATGCCAACCATCTTGACTTTATATATTCTATTGGAATTAGGCACCCTATTCAAACTTTAAATACTTTTAACATTACTATTACAATATACTCAATTCCAAATATCTTTGAACACAGTTTGCTTATAAACAACTTTTAACAAATTGCTAATTATAATTTTAACTCATCAGAACTTCACTTTTATACAGATGGCTTAGTTATAAACTTGGGTACCTCACAATGCTCAATGGGTATTGGATAGGCTTAAGTTTCAAATAACTCTATACTTCATATCTTCCAAGCTCAAACTAAATACTGGCCTTGCTCATTTAAGTCTAAGCTTATTGCTATTCTATCAGCCCTTATTGCTGCTCCTAGAAACTGTACTATAAACATATATACAGACTTACAATCTGTAATCTCTAAATATAACAGTTTTTCAAACTTGACAACAACTATATCTTACACTCATACACCATACTTCTTATTATGAAATACACTTATCAACTTCATCAAA